TAGATGAGCTCTTGAGGTTCCTTCCATCCCTACGTTTCTATTATTGTAAAATCTCAATTGGCAGAAGGACTTGGAATTAGGTGGCAGACCATAAATCTATTTCCAGCTTAGAGATGTTTCATTTTTGTTTCAGTTGTCTCATTGTGTGTACACAGTCCTAGGACATTCAGTCATAAACAAGTATGTCCCAATCAAATCCTTTCATTTCAAACTCCTGCTCTGTTCTGCTGTGACATTTGGTACATATGGCTATGTTTGTCATTTTGCAGCTGCCAAATCAGTGAGACATGCATTGGTTGCATGTTGCACCTTTTACCTAGTCTCTGAGTTGCACAATCAGTCAAAGTTATGGGTTAAGTGAGAAACTTTCAGAAATACAAATGGATTAAAGACAGAAAAAAAATTGATAAGCTAAATCTTCCAAAAAATTATCTGAATTATTAAAGGCAGCGTCTACTAAATAGACAATTTGGCAAACAGCTCAAGTATAAAATGTTTGTGGCTTTACAGTATTTGTGAAGTGACATTTAGAAGCTATAATTTAAAAAATGGTGCAACTTTGAGGTTGACGAACTATTCTATATTTCACCCACAGAGCTTTTAAAATTATCTGCTAAATTATCCTTTTATTAGTGCACTGTGCAGAGTAATTTTTGGCACATTAAAAAAAATCTCCCTTGCCAATAACAGTATACAGCTACAGCTGTGTGGGAAGCAATTGCTATTACAGTAATTCTTAAAGAAGTAAACCGGGCTCTGAAATTCATTTAGTTTTCTTATGTCACTGTTGTGCTGCTTTAGCAATGCTGTAGGGATTGCATAAACTTTTCCTTCTGATGAATCAAAGTATCATTATGATTCCATATTGACTTCATAACTTTGTTTATCCAAAACTGGTACAAAAGGATCTATCTGGTGTGAATCTAAAGATAACCATTTATGACTGAAAGCATAGAGCAGTTTGGTTTGATTTGTTAGATAACATCACTTGCTTTAATGCCAATATTTTTCTTTTACTCAGGATCACAATTAATAAGGATACAAAAGTACCAAATGCCTGTTTGTTTACAATCAACAAGGAAGACCACACACTTGGAAATATTATCAAATCGTAAGTAAAACCAATTCCTGTTGCATAGTTCTAGGAGTAAAGGTCTAATGGTGACGCAGTAGCTTACATTTAGCTGGGAAGATTGCCAAGGTGCAGAGTGTGACTCTAACCATAAACACTGGATAACTAGCCGTTTCACTAGCATGTTTGGGTGATGTCTGCAGGCCTATTTGTGGTAGTTACGGATGTGAAATTATGTTCCTTGACACCCACTTCTCATTGTGGCCCTTGTTACCACCATGTGTAAAACTTTGAGCTGGGTGCGATTCTTCTGCTCGTGTACACATGCTGGTGCCAGCTCCTAGCGTGAGCATAAATAGCAGTGTGGCCACAGTGGCAGACATACACCCCCCCGGTTTCAGGCAGGTTTGTACTTCTGCCGCTATGAGAGCTAGCAGGAGTATGTGTACATGAGCATGGGCATCATACCTCTAGCACAGGAGTGGGCAGACTACGGCCCAGGGGCCACATCCGGTCCACCAGACGTTTTAATCTGGCCCTCGAGCTCCCGCCATGGAACGGGGTCGAGGGCTTGCCCCGCTCTGTGCAGCTCCCGGAAGCAGCGGCATGTCTCTGCTCCGGCCCTTATGCATAGGGGCAGCCAGGGGGCTCCGCACGCTGTCCCTGCCCTAAGTGCTGCCCTTGCAGCTCCCATTGGCCGGGAACCACAGCCAATGGGAGCTGCAGGGGCGGTGCCTGCGGATGGGGCAACGCAAAGAGCAGCCTGGCCGCGCCTCCGTGTAGGAGCAGGAGCGGGGACATGCCGCTGCTTCTGGGAGCTGCTTCAGGTAAGCAACTCCCCGAGCCTGACCCCCTCCTGTGCCCCTTCCCCAGCCCTGATCCCCCTCCCACCTTCCAAACCCCTCAGCCCCACCCCCGAGACCGCACCCCCAGCCGGAGCCCTCACCTCACCCCACCCTGCACCCCAACCCCCAATTTCATGAGCATTCATGGCCCACCATACAATTTCCATACCCAGATGTGGCCCTTGGGCCAAAAAGTTTGCCCACCCCTGCTCTAGCACATAGTGTTAGCATATAGCCTCTAACTTTTGGGTAAAGATTTGGTTCTTTGTAACACGGGAAGACTTCTCCCCAAGTCAAATTGGCAGTGACCTTGTGGGTTCCCTCCCTCCCTCCTCCTCCCCTCCAGTATGTGGGTGCAGGTTGCTTGCCTGAATGATCTGGTTATATCTCACTTTACCGTTTCCCCTGCTATTACTGGGCCTGATGCATCTTGATCCCTCGTAGTCTCTTCCTGTGGCACATAATAGTCTAGTCTTCTGTGGGCTGTAATACATTGGTCTAATATTGGTTGTTGGGTTTAATGCAGGCGCTGGGGGGTGGTAGTGGCCTGTGATATACAGGAGGTCAGAGTAGATGATCCAGGGACCCCATCTGCCCTTAAAATATGAGACTCAATCTGGATGGCAAAGGTGCAAATGGCTACTTTTTTTATAAATTACAAATTAGCATTGTAGCAGTACACACTGATTCTAGTGAAGCAAGAAACTGTTAATTTAACAGTGTAGGAAATTCAAGAATCTCCAGGGCTAAACCAGGTTGACTTCACGTGGTTGGACATGGCAGGAGCTAATCCATTCATAGCTGGTGATGCAGAAGGTCTTTTGCGTAAGTCCCTTCTGTGATTTATAAGCTCAGAACAGCAGCATGTGGCCTCCAGTGGTAGGAGTAAATACTGCTAAACTTGGGCGCTCTGCATCAGATTATTGAAGTATGCTTTTGATAGCTCTTCTGCATGGATTTTTGCTGAAAATGATTCTAGTTATACCCTGGTGCTTTGTTCACATGAACACCACTGCTCAGTTCTTGCTATTAGATGCTCTGCCAGTGCTTGCCAAGCATTTCCCATTATCCCTGCTGTTCCAGTCCTGGATCTCTAAGGTAGGAACTGTCAATGCTGCCAAAATGTGCAGTGGTTTTATGAAATGCATGTACTGGCATGGACATAACATTTCCTGTAGCCCTCAAAAAAAAAAAAAATCTTTATGGAAAAATTCTCCAAGGATTGAATTAGCCTGTTAGAAAGGTGTGATATGTGGCAGACCCAACTTCATGCTTTGGGATCTTACAGAAATTTTGCAGCTAAACTGTTTAAGTCATGTGTCTTGTACCCTCTAAATGCTTTCCCCCCTCCCTTCCCATTTCAGGCAATTACTGAAAGACCCTCAGGTGTTGTTTGCAGGATACAAGGTCCCACATCCTCTGGAACATAAAATCATCATTCGAGTTCAGACCACTCCTGACTACAGTCCCCAGGAAGCTTTCACCAATGCTATCACAGACCTGATCAGTGAACTCTCCCTTCTGGAGGAGAGATTCAGGGTAAGTTTGCTTATCTGGCTAAACTGCGGTGTCACTAATGTGGGGAAAAGTTCTGAAACTGTGACCTGGTTTAAAAAGGACAGTTAAGTTACATTTTTCATATGAAAGCAACAGCTGTAAGGTTATGATCAGCCCAATTCAGCTCTGAATACCCATGTGTAAATTCCACTAAGCCGGAGCAGAATTTGGCTGTGTTACCACAGGACACTTGAGATCTTGTTCAGTTTCTCACACACCTTGTCTCTCTAGCATTTGCTTTCTCTCCCTTTTCACAAGCGTTTAAGTGTGAAAGCCTGTTGCCTGGAACAGCTTACTTGAAAAATTCTGCCTTTCAAATCTTTCTTTCCCATGCCAAGAACTCTTTAATAATACTTTCACTTATGAGCCCTTCTGTAATTACTCCATTCCTTGCTGTACAGTGTCTAACCTCAAATGGTTTGAGATCCCATTGGTCTGAGAAACATTTCAGAATAAAGCTATACTGAATTTCATACACTCCTATTTGCTAGTTCCTTAATTGAATCATATCCTTGACTTGTTTTAATATAATCACAGCAACTAATGATATCTCAAAGAATAAAGCAGTTGACACACAGGAAATCCTTTGAAAGTTTTCCTCTTTTCATGTAAATGCCTTCCAGTAATTAATAAAATGTAAGGGAAATGTATAAATATGCATTCTCCCTCCGAACATTTCCTGTTTTCCATCAGGAGATGCACATATTTCTGCTGCTGATTTAAACCATTGTTTCTTTACTTGGTTTAAAAAATATTTAATCATATATTCTTATACAAAGTCATCTCTTTAATCTCAAATATAGTTTTTATAGTGATGAATGTTTTGCTCAAATTATTGGTCTTCAAACCCTATTTAGAGAGGAAATAAATGAGATCACTTTCTGGTGCAGAATTCCTTTAAAACAGGTTATCTATTTCTTTTGTTTTACAGGTTGCCATCAAAGATAAACAAGAAGGAATTGAATAGAGTGGACTTTTTTTTTTTAAACCTGGATTGTGTTATAAAGTTTGTTTTCATTATAGTGGATGTGACTGCTTCGTCGAACAAGTTCTTTAAGGATTATGTTAAACTTTTTCAGTAAGAATTAATGTCTCTAAAAATAAGTGAATTTAGGGCCACTGTTATTAGTTAGTTTGCCCAGAGAAAGCAGTATTTTGATTTCTGTACAGGATAAATTATTTGCAGGTAGGATGGTAAGTGTCTGAGAAGTCTTGTATCAGTTGAGCTATTAAACTTTTTTCAAAGCTGTGTGTAAGACTTCCACTTGCTCAATCCATCATTTACTGTCAGTGAGTGTAGAGCCTTTGATTACTGTTATAAAGACGTAAGACCCCATGAAACTTAACAGCTGGGTAGTTCTCTACTTTATTTTGTCCTGTGGAGCATTGTTAGTTTTTTCACCATGTAGTATTGGGCTTAGTAGCTGTACTTCCAGAACAAGATTAGCTACCCTAGCTCAGCAGTTAATCTATTCTTGTACCACTGATGCCCCTCCTAGATCTATGGCAGCATTCCCTCCCATCCCCAGAAGTCATCTCTTCACTACCAAGTTAACAGGTATTACGTTTTATTAAGTATCATATTTCTATAAAACAAATACACAAATTGTGAAAACTCACAGTAAAAGTAATTGGGTATTGTCAATGACAGGATGTGTGCCAAGTCCCTTTGCGTTTTCTCTCTTGCATGATAAGGGCTGGTTTAGAAAACTTCATGGTTACTCTTGGAAACAATCACTAATACTGCACTATTTCAAAACATCACAGGAATGAAATTTTCCATAAAGAACAAGCTATGTTTTCTTCCATACAGCTGCTATATTTACGCCAGTTAAAGCAATAAGGTAAGTGAAAGTAGGGTCTGTCACCACATTGTTTATTAAGACTTCAGTCAGCAGCTCTCCATTTGCTCGAAGCTCTGGCCACTCAAGAATCTAGCAAGAGAACAGAGTAGTTCAGAAAAGCTTGTACAAAGTCAGTCTTGGTTTGGGTTTACCTCCGTTTAGAAAGGAAAGGTACAGCTACCCCCCCCTAAGTCTTCACTGGGGGAGGGTATAAAACACTGACCCCATAGTCCATCCCTTTATACATACAAACTTTTTATGTAATCTTACCACAACTGGTAAGTAAATAGGGTTGTGGAGTAGCTATTGGCTAACAGCATGCGATAGCACATAGTTTTCGTAGGTGACTCTTCCAGACTACTGCCAACAGTTAGGGCCTCAGTCGTTGGGAGTATATCAACTCTGATCTAGGACAGTAAACCCATTATAGAGGATTATTAGAGATGTAAGCTAGGGTAACCACATAGACTTTCAAGTGCATGGAAAAAATTAAATGGTTGCCTCTCAAGTTATCTAAAATCTCTCCTCTTGTTCAACAGCTTTAGTCTTAACTCAGGTTTTGATACACAGTGGTTTAATAGAGGAAAGACAGTAGGTAATGCGGAGAGCCCTGTTAAAGACCAGCTGTTTGGGGGGGGATCATCAAGTTGTCAGAGCTGGTGGTGAAAAAACATCAACTATAAATTGGTACTGTCAGGACTTAGCATGTGAGAAGCCTTTCAGTAGGAAGAGGTTAAGAATTACACTATCCAATGGCACCAGAGCGTGGGAAAGGCAGAGACTTACCCCACATTTAGTTCCCTGCTGACTCTAACAACCCCTTTTAGAATTAAATTGAACAGACTGAATTTAAAAAAAATTTCTTAAAAGAGCCATCTAATGAGAGATTTACAGTGCTGTTAGCATATGAAAGTAACTAACATTAATGATCAGATTTAAACTCAAATCTGTACAGTTAAGTAATTTGTCTTATGCCTCCTGTTTGCACAGCCTCACTGATGGGGAATATCGTTCAATATAAAAACCAAAGGCCTACCTGTGTAGGAGCTATTCTGTTCTCTGAGCGTTTTCCCTTGGAGGCCCTCCAGGCTGAAGAGTGCTTGCTGAGATTGTACATCCACACACTTCCCTTTTCATCGCCACAGAACACATACTCTGCTGCTGCAAGAGCAAAGGAACCAGGGCAGTGTTGAGATTTCTGATGGCCAAGACCAAAACCTTCTCGACTCTCTACCACTCATTAACCTGATGTTCCTCTTCTTGTGGCAGCCATAGCTTAAGATAGTGAGACAGAGCCCAGTATAACGAATGTCCCCTTCCAGATGAAATGTATCCCATTCTTAAGTAAACCTACCTTACAAAATTCAACTCCAATTATTTTTATGGGCTAGTCCAATATCATTTGTCATATCATATGAAGGAGGTGCTGAGTGGATTTTGGGCTCAAGCTGGTATGTTTTTATGACTATTTTGCAAGGCTGAAATAAAGTTGTTTTAACATTGGTCTTGCACTGCTAGTGTCCCCATTGTAATGCTCAGTTGGGTGCCTCTAGCAGACAGCTCAGAGCAGTGGTCTTTGTTAGGAGGCACTCCTTTCAAAGTAAGGCAGTAGGAGGGGAAAGAGTGTGGATTATTTTAAGATTCAGGTTCCTCCCAGAAATTTGTCACTATTATGAGGGCTGGGCAGAAGTTCTACCACCAGTTTTAAATGCAGCACAAATTCTAACATACTGCCCACCTGTATAGTGAAAGCACCCCTCATTTCAAAGTGCTTTGCAGATGTTCAGAAGGTAGCTATTAGCATTTTAGAAGCCGCATCAGAACAATAACTGAGCAGCAAGGCTGGGCATAAAATCCTTACCTGATACCTTGGGCAGGGTAAGTAAAGCAGAAATGGCAAGGTCTATTTAAAAAAAACAACAACTTGTACCTTTCAAGTCCTTCCCCAACAGTAGCTTCTCGAGTCCAATCCAGCCTTCTCCATTGTCAGCTGTAAAAGTGGGCTTACCTGGGCAGGTGCTGAGGGTAAGGTAGGGCAGGTCTGTTGTAGACCACTCCAGTTCAGCTAGAATAAGTGCAGGTCGTGTTCTGTGACATGATTTCCCCTGTGCCTCAAACGACTGGCTCCAGCTCCATAAGTAGATAGACCCTGTCTTAGAACTCTTAGAAACTGGAGGAGAGAGCAAAAGCGTATCAGGAATGAATGTCCTAAAATATTCAGACACATTTATTTCAAACCACCCAGCCCTCTTTAAATACTGCCTTTCTGACAGTAACATGGCTCCCTATTACAAAAGAAATCTAGTCACCATGTGGGGTGATAGCTGAGGGAGCTTTCTAGCCACCCTGGCCTTAAGCAGACTGATTGTGTGAGACTAAAGGAAGAATTAAACAAACTTGATTTTCCACCCCGTAGTACTTTAAAGCAGCACCCAAGGACGCTGGAGCTGGTGGGGCCTGGGAAGCAGCTGCTGAAAACAGGAGGCCAATGAACAGCTGGCTACTATAAAGGCTAAAAGGTTGTCCATACTGAGAAGTTTAGTGCACAGCAAGATAGGCTGTGAATTTACAACACGTTAGCTACACTGCACTAAAAGTGCCCCAGGCTTTAAAGTGCACAAAGTTACTTAGGCCTGGTCTACACTAGGCTTTTATGTCGACTTTAGCGCCGTTATATCGAATTAACCCTGCACCCGTCCACACCAGGAAGCCATTTAGTTCGACATAAAGCTCTCTTTAAATCGATTTCTGTAATCCTCCCCAACGAGAGGAGTAGCGCTAAATTCGACATGGCCATATCGAATTAGGCTAGGTGTGGATGGAAATCGACGGTAATAGCTCCGGGAGCTATCCCACAGTGCACCACTCTGTTGACGCTCTGGACAGCAGTCCGAGCTCGGATGCTCTGACCAGCCACACCCCCGGGAAAATTTGAATTCATTTTCATTTTCCTGTCTGGGCAGTTTGAATCTCAGTTCCTCTTTGGACATCGAGGGGAGCTCAGCAGCAGTGGCAACTATGCAGAGCTCTCCAGCAGAGATGGCCGTGCAATCTAATAGAAAGAGGGCCCCAGCATGGACTGATCGGGAAGTCTTGGATCTCATCGCAGTGTGGGGCGATGAGTCCGTGCTTTCAGAGCTGCGCTCCAAAAGAAGGAATGCTAAGATCTACGAGAAGATCTCCAAAGCCATGGCAGAGAGAGGCTACAGCCGGGATGCAACGCAGTGCCGCGTGAAAATCAAGGAGCTGAGACAAGGCTACCAAAAAACCAAAGAGGCTAACGGACGCTCCGGATCCCAGCCCCACACATCCCGTTTCTACGAGGCACTGCATTCCATCCTGGGAGCGGCCGCCACCACTACCCCACCCCTGACCGTGGACTCCGAGGATGGGATCATGTCGGACATGACAGCGGACGGGGAAGAGGAGGAAGGAGATGAGGAGGACGAGGCAGTCGACAGCGCTGGCACCGCTGATTTCCCCGACAGCCAGGAGCTCTTCATCACCCTTACCGAGATCCCGTACCAACCGTCCCCATCCCTTACCCCGGACACAGAATCAGGGGAAGGATCAAGCAGTAAGTGCTGAAAACATGTAAACATTTATTTAAAACAGAACGGTAATATTTATACTATTAACAATGTATATTTATAAAAGTGCTGTAAACTAGTAAAAAAATAATCAGGTACAAAACAGGAATATTTACAAAGGTAACAAATGGGTTTTCATGATTTCTCTGTCTTAGGCTCTTCTCAATTTAGTCCCATGTATTTTAAAAAAATTTCACAATGTCCGTTACTACATGATTCCCAGGCCCAAGACGCTCCACTCCAAAGTCCCAGTGCACCTACGCGAAAATCCGGTCAATGTGGCCGGGGATCGACGAGAAATCCTCGTAGGAGAACTCCTCGTAGGTCTCGTGGAGGTAGAGCTCAAGCCTGTTGATCAGGTTCCGGGGTAGGGCGATCTTAGTGGGCCCTCCGTGGTAGCAGACATGTCCCCTCCACGCCACAATCAAGTACTCCGGGATCATCGCACGACATAGCATGGCGGCATACGGCCCCGGTTTCTGCATGCTTTCCCGCAGCATGCGTTCTCTCTGGGTGTCCGGGATCCTCAGGAG